TTTTGATACTGGGAAAGATTTCTGTTTAGAAATATTTTAAAGAAGTGTAAATCTTGGATATACTTCTTTATGCATGGCATTGGGAACTGCATATATTGTAGTAAATTTCTAAACCAAGATTACATTCTCATATTTTGGTGGTTGTCACCCTGTATTCGCAAATAGGGGATTTACTCACTAGACCCATATGGTTTAACCCTCATTTTCTGTTTTAAATTATGCAATGCAGGAATAGCTGGGTCCGGGGATATAAAAGGGAAAGGGAAAATGTGATTATTTTCCTAATTTGTTTCCTGCTTTTGAAGATACATGTTGTGTTACATGTAGTAGTACATGATTTATTTTGAAAATTTTATATGTAGATTTTGTACATATAGTAATCCATGTACTAGGGGACCTTTCTGATGTAATTCATGTTTCTATGTAATGAAATATGTATTTTTTTTATGCAAATGTGGAGTATGGGTGTGTTACAGAAGTGGTATCAGAGCCTTAGTTTAAGAGATTTAGGTATTCAAAGTATGATACCTAGACTTAAACTGTCATTTGCATGCTAAGAGTGTCGGACATTATTAGTATCACTGGGAATAAAATATAATGGGTTAAAGAGAACAGTATGTAAAGTGAATTCGAATTACAAATGGCCAATGTAATTATGAATTTATAGGTACATGTCTGTACTTGGACACCATATTATATTTGGGAATGTGAATACATGATTATTAATACTAAAACTATTACAGATGTCTAATCAATCGCGAAGGTCAGAGAGAATTGCTCGTCATGTGTCTGAGGAAAGGGAAGAGTCACCTGCTAATCTTCCAACTAGCATGTCCAGAAATAGRGGTYRGGGAAGACCAAGGGGACGTGGTAGAGGAAGAAGTCAGACACATGAAAGGGGTCAAACTGAAGTACATTCTGAGTATGAGGAATCCCATTCTGGGAATGTTCAACAGGAGCAGAGACAACAATCTGAGTTCATAACTAGAAATGATCTAGCAGAAGAAATGGGAAAATTGAGGGAAACTCTAGTATCTATTATGGGATTGTCAGCTAGAGTAGAAACTGAGCGAGTCAGAATTAATCCTTCAGCTCCTTCAGCAGGCAGCAATAATCGAGGAGGTGATATAAAGATGTTTTTGACATGTAAACCTCCAACTTTTTCAGGAGAAAGAGATCCAGTTAAAGCAATGTGCTGGATAAAAGAAATTGAATCAGTATTTAACACTAGTAGGTGTTCTGAAGAAGATAAGGTTAGATTTGCAGTATCTATGCTCAAATCTAATGCCTTATATTGGTGGGATGTGGAGTCTTCGGCACAATTAAATATACTGCAAACAATGTCTTGGGAAGAATTTGTGAGTAAATTTAAAACACAATTCTGTCCTATGACTGCAGTAAGACAGATGGAGGAAGATTTTCTTAAGTTAGAACAAGGGAATCGATCCGTAAGGGAATATACTGAGAAATTTATTGAGTTTTCCCGATTTGCTGAGCATTATATATCTTCTGAATCTCGAAAAGTAGAAAAATATATTTGGGGTCTGAAGCCTTCTATTCGGGAGTTCGTGATTGCTATGAACCCTGAAACTTTCTCTTTAGCCGTTAATGCTGCCGAAGTTACTGAAAGAAATAAGAATCGGCAAGGTGAAGAGAAAATTGTTGAGAAAAGAAAGTGGGAAGGATCTTCTGTTGGTTTTCGAAGACCCAAATTCATTAAAACAAATAGTCGTATTCCGCAGTTACCCTCT